GTTGTAATGCTAGAAGTATAAGAAATAAAATAAATGACCTTAGAGCACTGGTAGGAATGGAGGATTTTGATATAATGGGAATAACTGAAACATGGTTAAACATAGATGATTTTGATGACAAAAATTTTTTTAAATACAGGGTTACAGGCTATTTAATAGAGATAGAGTATTAAAGAGGGGAGAAGGAGTGGCTTTATATGTAAAATGTTAGTTACATCTTGTTGAAGTTGAGGATATCAAAGACAATAGCACAAGGAGATAGAATTTATTTGGGTTTCTATTAGTGGATATAAAGGGAAAAGGCTTTTAGTGGGAATTTGTTACAGACTACCAAATGATATTGATGAAATTAGTGAGAAACTTTACAATGAGATTAAGTTTCAGCTGTTAATGAAGTCATAATTATGGGTGATTTTAATTTCAGGCATATAGATTGGGAAATTCTAGAATCAAACCATGAGGGAAAAAGGTTTTTGAAAACTGTTCAGGATGGCTTTCTTCACCAGTTAGTCAAGGAACTAAGTAAAAAAAATGCTATTTTAGACTTATTGTTAACTTCAACTACAAAAATGATTGGGAGGGTGGAAATTGGGGAACATCTAGGTGCAAGTGATCATTGCTATATTAGGTTTAATATTTTGCTGAATATGGAGATAAGGAATAATGATATTTTGGTTACAAATTTCAAAAAAGCAAAATTTGAAGGGATGCGACAAGAGTTATCTGTTGTGAATTGTGCAGCTGAATTATTTGGAGATACTGATCAGATGTGGAAAATTTTTAAAGATATATTTTTAAATATTCAATGTAAACATATTCTTAATAGAAAGAAAAGGTGTAGCTATAAGTGAAAAACCAGGCTGGCTCACAAAGAGTTTAAGAAATAAAATTAAAGAAAAGCATCATAAATTTAAGAAATTTAAATTGACTGGTATTACAGGAGACTTAAAAGATCATAGAAGGTCAAGAAAGTTGGTGAAACGGGAAATTAGGACATCAAAAAGGATGTATGAGAAAATGTTGGCTGAAAATGTAAAAATTAACAGTAAGGATTACTTTAAATACATTTAGGGGAAACAAAATGTTAGGACAGGGATAGGATCCTTGAGGGATAATAAAGGAAGGCTAGTATCTGTTAATTATGAGATGGCTGGGTTATTAAATTTCACTTTTTCTTTAGTTTTTACTAATGAAGATTTAATCACTATTCCACTTCCTGATTAGTTGATAAATAGAAATGAGATCAAATAAGATGACTGCATTAATTCTGAGCTGGTTAAGAAAAAATTGGGAAGTTTAAAAAATGATAAGGCTTCTGGTCTAGATAATATTTCCTCAAGGGTTTTGAATGAGGTTAAAGATTGGATATGTGAGTCATTTGCTACTATTTTTTGTCAGTCCTTGAATAGTGGGCAGGTACCAGAGGATTG